ATGAAGTGTTAATACCACTTTATAAAGCCTTGGTAAGGCCACACTTGGAATACTGCAATCAGTTCTGATCACCACGATGTAGAAAAGATGTGGAGACTCTGGAAAGAGTGCAGAGAAGAGCAACAAAGATGGTGAGAGGACTGGAGACTAAAACATATGAAGAACTTTTGCAGGAACTGGGTATGTTTAGTTTAAGAGAAAGAAGGACTAGGGGAGACATGATAGCAGTGTTCCAATATCTCAGGGGTTGCCACAAAGAAGAGGGAGTCAAAGGCACCTGATGGTAGAATAAGAAGCAATGGATGGAAACTAATCAAGGAGAAAAGCAATTTAGAACTGAGGAGAAATTTCCTGACAGAACAATTAATCACTGAACAGCTTGCCTCCAGAAGTTGTGAAAGCCCCAACACTGGAAGTCTTTAAGATGTTGGATAGCCATCTGTCTGAAATGGTATAGGGTTTCTGCCTAGGCAGGGGGTTGGACTAGAAGACCTCCAAGGTCCCTTCCAACTCTGCTATTGTATTACTGTAATACATAACTATACATTTATGTAAATAACCATGCAATCTAATTCAAAATATTTGAGTTTTTGCTCCAAGCACAAGTGACCTCGCTGAAATTACCCTACATTGAACACATTGTGCAAATTGTCCATCTGGCTGGACAAAAGTCTCATGTTGGGAAAAGTGGAAGAAAAAAGAAGAGGATGACCAGCAATCATTTGATCAAGCTGAATTAACTAGACCTACTCTAAACTCTGATGGCAACTAATTTGCTCCAAGATAATATATGGGAGCTTTCTGCAATATAATTCATACACACTATCTTGCAGGTACACAATTTTTTTCAGTATGAATCTCTCTAAAAAGCATACAAATGTTGTGTGATAACAGGATTCCTTTCACTTAAATCCCATGTTTTAAAAACAATGGAGACACTATATAGCCCAAACCCACTACTTTAATCAAACGTTTCACATGGATAATCTAGTCTCTCTAGAGTCTAGATTCTCTGACTCATTTGTGTTTGTAATCCAAATAAATCCTTGCCATATAGTGCTGATTTACAGTTTTGTTTTCAAATGAAAATTAATCAGAGATCAGTTTGAAATAATAATACATTAATGTAGTTTTTGGCATTTTTGTATGCCATTAATAGCTAACTATTGGAGGGAAGATGGTGCTAATTGTAGTGCTTTACATCTTTGAGATAAATGTGAAATGAGTTTGGTTGTTAAACTTTGTGGAAATGTAATCCATGGAAGCCTTTGCTGGTACTCAAATAAAATAAAATAAATAAATTGACTGTAGATCTTTATTACATGTCTCTTAAATTTCACTAAATGTCTTTCAATTTGCTTAGTTTTCTGATTATTTTTAATAAAATAATATAATCTATATAAATAAAAATGTAATGTTTGTTTGTTCAAAATCGCTAATCTCCGAAAGGTTTTCACCGATTGCTTTGAAATTTTGACATAATGTTGCAGTCAAATATGTGAATGTTTTTATATATGTATATTATATAGATGTCACACCTGTGACAGGTAAATACATGATTTTTTGTAAAAACATGCTTTTTTGAAAACCAGTGCCATCTGGTGGACGTAAAAGCAACACACACTATACTAAATATTTCATAATTCCATTTCAATGTTTCCGATTGATTGTTATGTTGAATTTTCATAGATTTTGATTTTTTTATTTTATTTAATTATTGTGACATTGCGTTGGAATTGAGCTGTGTCATTTACCGTAGCATTCATTTAGTGAGTATAGTATGTTTGGAACAGTTCAGCCTCTCTCCAGCTTCGTCCCGACAGTCCCTTTATAGGTGTGGCTGGGCTGCGGCCGCACCCTTTCCTCTTTCTGCCCCTCCTCTGAAGAGCTTCGGCAATTTCTGCCCAGGGGAGCCGAAGCCCTTCGGCCTCCCCCTCCCCTCTCTCCCCTCCCCTCCTGCCAGGCCTTTGCTATCTGCGGTGGGGCACCACCTGTGCCATCCCTCAGCAGCCTCCCCCCACCCTTAAGCCAGCCTACCCCCAGCCAACCCAGCAGAGCTCCAGAGGAGGCGGAGCATCTCCTCAGCCCGGCCGGCCGCACGCGCTCTCCACCCCCCTTCACAACGAGCCAGCTACGGCCTCACCAAGGCGGCTCCAATGGGGTAGCGGCGGTGTCAGCCTGAGGTGCAGTGGTGCTGGGGCGGCCTCTGGGTGCCCCGTGAGACGGCACACCGAGGACTTCTCCTCCTCCGAGATCCTGGATGTCTCACTCTCCCGGGCCACTGATTTGGGAGAGCCCGAGCGCAGCTCCTCCGAGGAGATGCTCAACAACTTCCACGAGGCCAATAGCCCCGGCGCTGTCTCCCCCAACCAGCCTTGCCTGGCCCAGCAGTCCCGAGTCCTGACCAATGGCAGCACCCACCTGCCACCCCACTATGCCCAGACTGGGCCACAGCAACGCGTGGCCGGGTACAGCTAGTAATATATAAAATTTAATAATGTAATAATTATTTATAAAGGTTACTTGTGTTGGGTTTATTTTATTCTCACTTTACCCCACTTTATACAGTATTGTTCTCATCTTTCTCCAACTTGGTACTTTCTTCATGGATTGAATTTCAGCTCCCATAAATCCCAGCCAGCATCCCACAGCTTGTCTCAGACAACTGGCTCTTTTGTGATACAAATATCTTCTTCCATATGCTTTATGTAAAATATGTAAAGTAATGCATTTTTTGAGCTTATATACGTAGCTTGCTTCAATCACTGACCATGGAAAATAATGATTCTGTACCAGGCCTAGAACTTTTCGGTCTCAAAATAGTCAAAATCACAACAGTCAGAAATGAAAAGACAATAAGAGATGTTAAACCAACTATTTCTAACCCTATCTTCTTATTTTGAAAGGGCTGGTATAAATGATTCAGATGCAAAATTTTTAACCTCCAGGATAAAGAGTGCTGTTTTGAGAAGTGATTTAATATTCAAATTGTAATTGCTCTCTAAAATAAAAATGAAACTCACAATCAAAACAAGTATTTTTTTATCTTACACACTACAAAATATGCTTGAAAATAAATGAGTGAATAGAGGATGGCCCAAACTTCACTCTTTGCTATTGAAGAAATGCTCTAGCACTTCAGAATGTGAAGCTCCTATTTTCACTTATTCACAATAAATCACTTGATACCAGTTTTGAAAGTATGCTGAAGCTGTCCACCAGCTGCAGTTTCCTTCTTGATAAATTACAGTTATTATAGTCAGATGCCTTACCAATCTCTTATCTGTTTCAAAAGCAAGGGGAGCTGAAGTCATATCTCCATGACAGACATAGACCCAGAATATATAAATGACAAATGACATGCCTTTCTACTAAAAACCAAGTACCATTCTTGAACAGGAACACAATTTATATTTTTATAGTAACAGACTTAAGATAACACCATGAGACACTAATGCGGTTACTTAAACCTTGGCATTTATTTTTTGTTCATCTCAAAATGTTGTTTGTTCAACAATTTCACCTTAGGTTGGTTGTCTGATGGAAATAAATATTGGAAGTAGCCTAAAAGTTCTATGATCTCATTTCCTCAGCATGGCATGCAATCCAAATCAAATGATGGACAGGTAAGATTATATTGTATATTAATTTTACTAAGAACATGCAGCATACAAGACTAAATACTGTAATAAAAGTCTTTTTGTTCAAAATGATGCTGTTTATTGGAAACAAACAGGAGAAACATCAGCAAGGCAAGTCTATGGGACTTGAGATTACAGAAGATAAGAAATTCTTCTAAATATTCCAATTTGGTGGTGGATTTCTTGGTCCTTTGGGTTTGGAAAATCGGTTTGCAAAGCCTGTGACAAAAAATGAAGCACTATTATCATATTTTATATAAATAAATCTTCAGTGAATCTGAAGCAAAAAATTACTAGGTATGCGTATCACTGACAGAAACTATGTGAGAGACAGTGCAACTATTCCAAACAACCACAGTAATAAATGTATAGTTCATCATTAAGCAATCAAGTATTTTTTAAAAATGGAAGCTAAGCAATAAATGCATAACATGTTTCTCTAGTACAGAAAAATAAATTTAAAATGCTGAAATGTAGCAATAATATTTGCATATGGTGGTATGGGTTGGTGCTAACAATTTATTAAATTGTTTTATATCTATATCCCCTATCATCATTATCTAGTATAGTTGCTGAGAGTTGAGTGATTTAGTCTTTCATTTAGGAGCGGAAGGAATTACTACCTATTTTTCTCCACAACAACCATGCTGTGAGGTAGATGGTGATTGCCTCAAAGTCACCCGCTGCCTATCTATGGCTAAGGATGACTAGAAATTGGATCTTGGGCAAATATGGCAGAATTTTGAACTGTTTTCCCGAAATGATTTTTTTCCTTCCTCGTGTCAACATGTCAGTGCCATTTTCCCTAGTTCTCAACATGTATTTTCTCATTTCGATTTAATTCTAAGTTTTTTCAGTTACTTTATAGCATTTGAGAAAGCTATTAGAAAATATAAGGCAACATCCTACCATATTTAATAAATCTAAAAAGGATTCTGACCATCCTTTGCAATGTTTACATTAATGCATATGATCCTATATATGGTAGGATGAGAAATCTTGGTGATAGCATTACAAACTATCAACTGGAAAGTTGTAGTGATAATTTAGAGAATGCAAGAAAACTTTAGGATATATAGTATTATAATTTTGGACTTCAGTATTATTGTATGGATTACCTTCATAGTAAATTGAACATTGGAGCATATTTATTTTTTAAAATGCATACCAAAATTCAGAATAGAGCTGTGATGATTTGACGGATTATGCTCCGGAGCTCTTACTATCGAAGATGGATTCCAAATACCTAAAAATTCAAAAATGTCTTTAGTAAGTCATAGTTAGTCTGATAAAGACAGATTTCATGCACTGTAATGTGATCCCTGATATAAGGGAAGTCTTGCTTAAATTGGAATAGGAAAGATAAAAGAATAACCATTGAGTGGTAAGATTAATCTTACCACTCATTATGAATGCAATATTGTAAGACCAAATTCTAATATTGGTACTGGTGCTCTTTTGATGTTCTGTCCATTAAGAATTGTTTATTTCATAATGACATGCCTGTATAAAAGTTTACATGACAGAAGAAAGTGGACCTAGTCACGTGGCTTTTCTTACATGGTAGAACATTTCAGCTGCCACTGATTAGAACAGTATTTGAGGATTTTGTTATTATTGGCAAGTATGGATCAGTTTTACATCCTTTTAAAGTATCTACTTATGTGGCCATATCCAGCCCCAAATTTATTAACAACTAAAGATAGTAAAACAACTATAAAATCCAGGAAGTCTTTGTTACTTAAACACCGTTAAAACCAATTTGTTTTTTACTTCTTCCTTTCTGGAGGATCTAATGGTTGACAGGATGGCATTTGTTGGTTTTCAAGTATATCTTGTTAACTTTTAACTGCTGTTTGATGTTTTATCTGAAACAATTGCCTACTGATCCCAGAAGCTTCTGACAGACTTTTTTCTCTTTAGCAATCTAGTGATTTTGGTATTATTCCTCTTTCATTTCATTAATTCTCTTGGTCCTGGATCAAGCTTTCCAAGATGGTCATCTTTCTCTTTGTCAGACTTTAATGAACTGTTTTAATGTTTGCCTAAGTCTCATTGCAGCAGCAAACAATCAGCAATGTCTCCAAGAAGAGAAACAGTATTAATCCATAGCAGCAAGAACATAAAGACCACCTTAGAAATTAATTGTGGGTTACTCGAAGGAAATGTAGGCAGAAGCCTTCATCATGAAATGCATAGAGCAAAGCTTCGGAATCAGCTCTCTTAAATGCAGGAATTCATGCCAAAGATACTTTCTCAAATAGGTCTAAGGAACCTGTCAGAATATGTATGTGTTTACCGTAATGGCTCTAATTCGTACTGTAAATGTTAAGTTTTTAAAGGCTGGATGGGAAATTTACACTGTGTTTTTAAGTTAAATTTCAGTATAATTTCTGGCTATTTTCTATATATTTAAAATATAATGGGAAAACAAAGCATTACATGTTAATAGTTCACATTTGAAGTCTTTCATCCAATGCATTAATTAATCATTGTTTCTGGTATCTTTTGACTCATTGAATGACAATGGGATTTGATAGTTAGCTTTTATTAATCCAGTAAACTATTTGCTATCCTCTAGACTTGTAAGGATATCATATAAAGATATTGCTAATTGTTTCCTTCTTCTAGATACTTACTGTTTTTCACATTTCGTAAAATTTTCAGACTCTGTAAAGAGAGAGATAAAATCCTCTATTGGCATTAAGAAACTAAAGATCATTAACACATGTGAGTAGAGTTTTAACAGTGTAAATATGGAAAGAGAAGTAAATATGAAATACAGTATACTTTTCTCTCTTTCTTAGAGGATCACACCCAGTGCTATGAATGATCAATATTCCAAATTTCTTGAGAGTAGAATACGATTACTGTAATATGTTCTACACAAGGTTGTCCCATTAAAAGAAAGATTGGCAAGAAACAGAGAATGTTGGTTTCTTTATTTTGGACACTCATGCATGCATAAAAAACATATAAAAGAAGATGAAGCAATTGCTAAATATTTATTATTAAGTATTAATGATATAAAATTAAACACAATACCTCTCACCTTTGGTGAAGGAGTGTTGCCTTTAAGACAGGACATGCAAGGACATTAATGGGGACTATCAATCACCACAAGTGATGTTGCAGTTGTTAACCTACACAGTAAATGCTTTCAGGACTTACTTTGTAATCACATCCAATCCAATAAACACATTCACACACACACAAAAAATCCTAGTTAGACCAAAAAGATTATGCTTTTCCAGTAAGAAAAACCACTTGCTTAAATCCTGGATAAATGAGTATTTCTCTAACCAAAAGAAATGTTGCAATGTGTAAAAACATATGGTCTTCTGCACAACTGAAATTTCTATGATTTACATTATGTATAAGGTATGGGAGAAAAAAAACCCTGCTTTTCTGTTTCTAAATTAATGATGCTTTTCACCAGCTCCACTTTCCTTACCTTGCTCCTTCTGAAGTTGCCTGCCTCTTTTGTCATCTCCTTTGCTGATTTAATCTGAAGGTTTCCAAAGTTCGTTGCATTGTTTGTAACAGATGGACAAGCTTTAAAAAGAAACAGTGTCAAAAAAGACGCACTGGGAAAATACTCTCCATATATTAAAAAAGTATTTGTGAAAAAAATATTATTAAACCAATTGTACAGACAAAAAAGTCCTGTAGGACCTAAACTTACAGGAATACAGCCAATTTGTTTGTGAAAAATAAAAAGGTAAGTCCATCTCTCAGCAGATGTATTTTTAAAAGTAGGTTAGGATGAAAGCATCCTAAGAGACAAATGTAAAACTGTCTACTGTGTTTTCCCCAAAATAAGAGAGGGTCTTATTTTCTTTTTACACACAAAATATGGCTTGGGCTTTATTATGAGGGGAAGGTTTATTGTTTTGGGGTTGCCGGGCGGCTGCTCTCTTGCGAGTGGGCTCCCAAAGAGCCAGGCACATCCTCATGGGCGAATGGCTGGGTTGCATTGTCACAGCAGCACAACACAGCAGCCATGAAGTGACCACACTCATGAGTAGCCACCCGGCAAACCCCCTTTCCAGCTGGACACAGCGCCATTACTGACCCAGGGGTATCGCCAAGCTGTGTGAGCGCCTGTTCACCGCCGCCCGGCTCCCACAGCTTGCCGCCTTCGAAATGGCAGTGAATTGTGCTCTGCATGGCTGGAGGGGGGGGGGGTTTGCACGAGAGGCTGATCCACTCTCTCGCCTGCCAGCCTCATGATGCATGGCCCAATTCTCTCCACAGAGCCAGGGCACCTCCGCTGCCGCCACCGCCACATGGCTTTTTCTGCAGCTTCCAAACCAAGTCTTCCAGCAGTGGCCGCTCTGAGCGTACGCTCTATGGTTGTGGGCCAGCTGTCGGCAGAGTGTACAACCATAGACCATACGCTCAGAGCAGCCACTGCCGGAAGACTATGTTTGGAAGCTGCAGAAAAAGCCATGCAGTTGCAGAGGTGCCATTTGCTTTGGGCCCAGCATGTATTTTACACTGCAACAGTGGTAGGTTTCAAAAATTTTTAGAACCTCTTCTGTAGGTGTGGCCTGCTTTGTGGGAGTGGCTTGCCGGCCATGTGACTGGGTGGGAGTGGCTTGCC